TTATTGTTTTATATTTTTATTGTTTCCCTTCTACGTGCCTTTACCGAAAGAATCAAGAATATGTTAATGCGTCGTCAAACCCCGCCACCACCCGACGGGGTTTGTCACGTAAACAAAACAAAAACATGCCAGTTCGTTGGAGAGTAAACACACGACATTTACAATGGCTCTGTCGGGTGGTGGCGGGTTTGACGACACGCTTATATTGACGCGATCTTACCCAGAACACCTCTCTTGTGGATGATGCTGGACGCGAAAGCCTCCGACTGCTACGACGTCGTTCTAATATTTGTCAAAGCGACGCTGGGTGACGGTCCCCCCACGCTGTATTTGTCGGTCATGGGGGATTTACTTGACCATACTTCACCGCGCTGGTCAGTGCAGGCTGGCGATGGTGAGTGAGGTCCTGGCCGGGACGCGTCGCTAGGAGGGATGATGGCCGTGGAACGAAGGCCGAGACTGTGGACGGAATAGCAGCCGAAAGGAGGGAACACGCCCAGGGGCTGGTGGGAGTGAATGATTGTGGAGATTGAGAGTTGCTCCTTGTGAAGCACGGAGCAGCCTTCTTCCCACCTCCTACACCCACCACACCCCCCACACCCCCTAACCCCCACACCCCACACCCCACCACACCCCCCACGCCCCACCACACCCCACCACACCCCCCACACCCCCCTAACCCCCCACACCCCCCACGCCCCACAAACCCCACCACACCTCCCACACCCCCCCACACCCACCACACCCACCACACCCCACACCCCCCTAACCCCCCACACCCCCCTAACCCCCCACACCCCACCACACCCCACCACACCCACCACACCCACCACACCCACCACACCCCCCAAACCCCCCACACCCCACCACACCCCACCACACCCACCACCCCCACCACACCCCACCACACCCACCACACCCCCCACACCCCCACACCCACCACACCCCATTACACCCACCGACCCCACCACACCCCACCACACCCACCACACCCACCACACCCCACCACATCCCACCACACCCACCACACCCCACCACACCCCACCACACCCCACCACATCCCACCACACCCCACCACATCCCACCACACCCCACCACACCCCACCACATCCCACCACACCCACCACACCCACCACATCCACCACACCCCACCACACCCCACCACACCCCACCACACCCACCACACCCGCTCGTGTGCGGAAGCGAGACAGGTTGTCGTGAGGAATGTCAATAGCTTCGAGGTGTACAGCGCGGCGAGGGGGGGGGGGGGGTTCATCCAGCAGTAGATAGATCACAGCTGATGGTGGGAACGTCATCATCCAGCAGCGGACGATGCTGCCCATGATGATGATGATGTTAATGATGTCGATGGCGCTTGGATCGGTGTGGACGGCATGCACCACGAGCTGCTGCAACCAAGCACAACGACACTTGAACGACACTTGCCATTCTGCCATTCTCAACTGAAGCGGCAGAGACATCACCGCGGCGCGTCGTGCCAGGCTAGGTTCACCCCGAGGCCACGTGGAGTGTGGCGACGGCTGGCTGTTCTGGCGGGAGGTCACGGGGTCAGGCCCAGATGTTATCGAGTATGTGACCACAATGACAGATGCACCAACAGAGACAAAGATTCCCTGCATGATCGTTCATAGACTGTTGTGGGGAGTGCTGTTTGCGAGCACCTATTAAGGCCGACACGGCACACGAAGGAGTGGGTGGCCAGCACCACGGCCGGCCGCCTTTGTCTCCCAAGTGGCGATGTTTACACATGGCACCAGGTACTCATTTGAGGCTGAGTCGACCTAGGGGAGGCCCAGGCCCGGTTCATATAATCGTCACCGGTGTTGGCCGTGAGCGAGAAATAGAACTCGAGTCGCCGGGTTTGTAGCGCAGCGTGGCGCTAACCACTACACTACCGCTCCTTCAGTCGCTCGAACACGCGCGCAACATACACACCATCTGTTTCACCTGCGAGCTTGTCAAATTCCCAGTGACGTTGTTGTTGTCGTTGTTGTTGTTGTTGATGTTGTTGTTGTCTTTCCAACAGAACGAGCCACTGCTGTCGCAATGCCACAGTCAAGTCGAGAAACTGAATTCGCAGTTAGCGACAATTATCGCTCTGATCGCTTCTTCCCGAGAGTGGCGCCCGTGTCCACGCCAAGTGGCCCTTGAGATGCCAATATAGGTCAGCGTTAGCACGGGGTCAAACGATTGACCTCCCCTCCCCATGATCCATACCACCCACCCCCCGAAGATAAATCCCACACCCCCAACAGCGATCCGATGACTCGCGACGATTCAAGATCGCGATTCGACTGACATCCAAATCCGCTTTGTTTAACACTGCCGTGAATTGTCGCGTCTCTAGCGGCTGAAGGGGTCACGCAAACCCTTCATGGACATCATGCCTTTAGCGCTGCACTACAACATATATATAAAATATCACCAATAAAGTAAAACAACTAACATTTCACGCAATGGCCCTTCTTTACGTATAGATCGAGGTGTATATTAAACATCAAATAACACGAACTCACAATGCACGCACTCGGCAATTTAACCAGCAGGAGTCTGTAAGGTGACTTTTTTTTTACAAGGTGCCTCGACATCTTCGCCACGCATGGACCCCATGCGCTTAAATAATTAATGTAATGAGTTCCCCCCCCCCCACCCAGTTTAAAACGGTGGCTTTCACGACCAATATTATTCATATTAAAGGTTTTTGGGTTAGATCGCATAAGTAATAAATGTGTCGAAACCCTCCACCACCCGACACGGCCAATCAGTAATGGATTTGTCACGTAAACAAAACGACAATTAGTTCACTACTTCAGCCCACCGGCGTGTTGAAGAGTGAATCCACAACATTTACAATCTGAGTAGTACGACGTTTCGCTGGTAATTACATCCAGCATCATCGGGCGATTAGCCAGAATAGTTAAGCCATCCATCTGCTTCCCCCCCCACCCCAAATCGTAGGAGAGCATCTCGCTGAGTCCCAAGACTCTTTTAGCAACCTTGGGTTGTTTGATCAGTTCCAATAAAGACCGTTTTGCTTCAGAGTGCGAGGAGAACGGTCTGCAGAGCGCACAGACGGGTTCATGAACCCACTTGCCAGTTCCTGCCATCCCATGGCTACCTTGCGACAAGACTTGGTATCTCCCATCCAAACAACTAACCAGGCTCAACTCTGCTTAGCCTGGGGATTGGGTCGGAGGTCAAATTACATCTGCGGCATTTACGTAAGCGCACATCTGACATGCGGACAGACAAACTCACGATTTCATAGAAATATGCATCACTCTCTCTCTCTGAAAGAAGCAGCGAGGCCCTTTTTTGTCAAAACATTTGTCAGTCGACCGCAGCAATGTGTCAGGCGCAGACGGATAAATCGGAGATAGAGTAATAACCTGAAGCAGCCTTATCAGCCATTCTCTCTGAGCTCCGATCATCACCTCCCGATATGTCTCAGCGCCAGCCTGCGCTTCTCTCCGTTCAATACGGAGACAGCAACCTCCTCCTCCCCCCTTACTCCCCCACCCCCACCCATCCCTCCCTCCTCCCCTCCCTTCCTCCTCCTCATCATTCCCACCTCCTCACCCTCACTCCTCATCCTCCTCCACCTCACTCCTTCTCATTCCCACACTGGCTCCTTCACCCCCCACCTCCCCCCACCCACCCACCTCACCCTCCCCACTGTCCCTCCACGGTGTTGTGCTTGCCCAAGGTCACGCATCCATCCAGCAGTGGACTGACCGTGGCTGCTGATCGCGATGACCGTGATGATGAAGACCGAGAGAGAGAGACAGGGCACCCGAGATGTCCTGGGGCAGAGTCGCGACCCGCAATGCCGTGAGCTCTACTCCCACCTCCCTCTCCACCGCAGTGGGGGGAGGGGGGGGGGGTGCAGCTCCCTCGATAGCGATGATCGTAGGGGGGGTGGTGGCGGGGGGGGGTCAAATCGGAGCTGCAGAGAGAGGGGGGACAGGGGTCACCAGCTCCAATCCTCGCCATCTCCCGTCACTCGTTCATCCTCCCCAACTCCAAATCTCTCCCCATCTCTCATATCCCATCTACATTCTCCCATCATCGTCCTCCCAATCTCTCATCTCTTTATAAACCGCCATATCTCTCTCCTCATCGCTCCCTTATCCACTCAACTCCACTTCCTTCGAATTTAATTTTAGTACTATTTTTTTTTCACAATACCAGCCTCTTAAATCTCGCTAGGTTTTCGCGAGCGTGCTGTACAGCTCTCCCTGTGCATGTTCGAGTGTGGTACCGCTTGACCGCGAACCTTCCACGCCACGTGCTTGGGAACTTCGTGAGGAACTGAAATTGGAGCAGCTCACGTGGGGTCGTGCGTGGGCAGTGGCGACTGGAGGAGCGTGAGAGTTCTCGCGAGGGCAGAGGCCCTTAAAGAATCTTGGCGACATTGGGTCCCAGTCTCTCGCAGTGTCTCTCTATCTCCGCTCTCTCCACTCTCCCACCTCCATCCTCCCATCGCTCCCTGCCTCCCCTCCCTCTCCCTCCGTGCCAGCTGCCCAGCCGTGAATCGATCTCTGGCACGTGTAATTACAATTTTATTTTACACGCGTTTTCCCTGCATTCATCAGCGGGCGGGTGGCTGAGCAGATTAGCGGGCCAGTGGGTTTGGCAGGGAGGAGGAGGAGGATGTGTGTGTGTGAGTGGGTGAGTATGCGGGTAAGTGGATGAGTGGGTAAGTAGGTGGATGGGTGCGTGGGTGAGCAAGCGAGCGAGCGGACGGGATTGTGAGTGAGCGGACGAGTTGGCGGACGAGTGGACGAGTGGGTGAGCGAGCATGTGAGTGGGGGGAAAACAATCTTCTGGTGAGTAGGTGAGCGGGCGTTTGAGTGGGTGAGTGTGGGAAAGGTGAACGGGTGAGCTTGTGGTGGTGAACATAGCCGCCAGTAGCCGCTTCCCAAGTCACGTGAACCGATGTATACCCTCGCGCAATAATCCAATCGAAGACTCTTATCTCGGATTTCGTACGGAACTTTTGTCAAAGCGCTTTACAAGAATTATAAATTGTACATTAGCATTTGGCTGATGGGGGGAAAGGGACGGGGTTTGAGTGTCGGAGAGGGGAAGGCGTGGTAAAGGGAGGGTGACTGTAGGGAAAACGGAGACGGAGTGTTTCACGCGCAAGATTCCCCGAGCTCTATCACGGGCTCAACAATCGATATCATGAATCGATGACCCGAAGCGCCGTCACGGCCGCGGTGATCGACTTGCGCGATGGACCGCGCTGGAATTCCGTTTACAACAACAACAACAAAACCGGGGCCGCGTAGGTGACAACGTAAAATACACAAACAAATAAATATCTAAATTATAAGCAAGCAATTACCTCGGTAAATAAATGAAACGCATTAATATTGTGCAGGCGCGTCGGGCGGCTGGGAATATGAATGTTGTACTGTACCCATCACGACACCCCAGGGAGAAATTCAGTGGATAATGCACACCGCCTCGTGTGACACCGCAAAATGAAAATAACCTAAAAATTGTGGGCATATTGTCATTATTAGTCTAGATCACAATGAAACAATGGCACGCAATCTTAAGAAGATTGAACGGCGGTGGCGTAGAAATGAGCACGGGGAGACAGGCGCGTCCTTGGAATTGCACCGAGAGAGAGAGATATATATACTGAGATGAACACGTGGATGGGAGAGCACACGTGGGCTAATAACAGCATCCAAACGATACCGCTTGCAGTTTATTTCTGTATAACCAGCTGAGAAAGTCAAGACGACTCTCATTTGCGAGAGAGGCCTGGGTCACCAACATGACAAGGGCACAAAAACGATATCAATCAAAGTACAGCGATAAAGCAAATATCAATCAACACGAAAGCTACAATATAAACGAAAAACTAGCTAGTGGTCCAGATGTATTGTGATCCCCAATTAATTGACTCCTAAAAAAATCCTTTGCATATTAATTTCTATTTTAAAGACACCTTACTGAGAAACACATTACGTTTAAGAGAATTGAATGGGGGGAGGGGGGTGGGGGGTTGGGGGTCACAAGACATCTGGGCCACCCCGTAGGTTGTAGTACTTGCGTTGAATTTAGTTTGCGTAGTTGGTGACCGACACGCTCCAGGTAAGGAAGAAACGCGCCGCGTGTGGGTGACCTCCGCGTGAACATCCGCGGTGCCGACACGTCAGGAAGCGGTGAGCTTTTGGCCAGAGAGACACGTTCCTGCTGCACAAGAGGAGAGGGACGTTTCTTTTAGTTTTTTTTTTAACAAATGTGCTTGCATGTAAGCAATGCTCGCTGATCAGAGGCATCGCTCCCCGTGCGGCCGATGAATTGCGACGGCGAGGGGAACAAAGTTGGGTAGCGGGGAAGAAACTTGGGCAGCAGGCGCAGCTGCGCTGGAGGGGCAGCGCGGGGCAGTCGTCGTCCCGAGTCAGCGCGAGCACGCGCGCGCAGGCAGCGAGGAGGAGGAGGACGAGGAGGATGAAGAGGAGGAGGACGAGGAGGATGAAGAGGACGATGAGGAGGAGGGCGAGGAGGAGGAGGCGGACGAGGAGGCGGATGAGGAGGAGGATGAAGAGGAGGAGGACGAGGAGGATGAAGAGGAGGACGAGGAGGAGGACGAGGAGGAGGACGAGAAGGAGGACGAGGAGGAAGAAGAGGAAGAAGATGAGGAGGAGGATGAGGAGGACGAGGAGGAGGATGAGGAGGACGAGGAGGAGGCGACCGCTCGGGTCGTCATCGCGAGCCCAGCACAGCAACGCGAGTCACACCGCAGGGATCGAGTCATCCGTCTTCATTTGCTCCATCAATTTGTATCGGTGCCGTCAATGCTCGCCAGAGCCATCTCTCTCTCTCTCTCCCCCCACCCCCACGCACCCCTTTCTTTCCTGGCCCTCACTCACCCCGCTCATCCCCTCGATTCCCCCCCCCCTGCTCCCCGTCACTGCCCAGACGCACCGCCCTCTTCATCTCCATCCAGCCTTCACCTCCCCTATCCACCGCACTGCCCCCTCCTGCTGCCCCCCACCCCTTCGCCTAGCCCCCCCCTCCATCACCCCACCCCCGAACAAAGCTACTACATCCATCCTCGAGCGGGCGTCCGCTATCCCTTCGCCTGTGTTGTGTGTCGCTGACTTAAAAACCGCCGGCTCTGCTCGCAGCTGCTCGGAGCCGGCGAGAAGCCCCGAGGCTCCGGTCTCTCTCATGGAGCTCAGACGAGCCACGAATAGACACACACACACGTGTAGACACACACACACGTGTAGACACACACACGCATAGACACACACACGTGTAGACACACAGACACGTGTAGACACACACACACCCGTAGACACACACACGTGTAGACACACACACACGCATAGACACACACACACACGTGTAGACACACACACGTGTAGACACACACACGTAGACACACACACGTAGACACACACACGTGTAGACACACACACACGTGTAGACACACACACACACACGTGTAGACACACACACACACATGTAGACACACACACGTGTAGACACACACACACGTGTAGACACACACACGCATAGACACACACACACGTGTAGACACACACACACGTGTAGACACACACACACGTAGACACACAAACGTGTAGACATACAACAACAACAACCGCCATTCGCCACTAAGTGGCGGCGACGTCACCACGACGCTTGTGCCAGGCTATGTGCACCCTGAGGCCACGTGAAGTGTCGAACGCCCGCTGGCAGGAGGTCACGGGGCAGACCCAGGTGCCACGGGTCGACTGACTGAGATGACTGGCTGATGCACCACCTGTGCCCCCTACTGTGCCAACCTGCTGTGCTTTAGCCACCCGGCGCTCCACTCGTTGTTCTGAGCGTCGCTCCTCCGCCCTCCGTTGTTGTTGGAGGGCGACTGCCTCCAACTGCCCAGTAGCATCCTTCACGAGCCTCCTCCACAGAGGCCGATCTTGACACCGCTGGTACCAGTCATCGGCAAGTCCACTCAGCTCCACGTCTTCCTGTACCACATCACTCCATCTCTTCTCTAGCCCGTGCCGCGCCCGCTTAGCCCCCTCAATCCGGCCAAACAAAAGCTGTTTCGGCATGCGGTGGCTGGGCATGCGGGCTACACGACCCAGCCATCGCAGCCTTGCCTGCCGGAGGAGCTCACCGATGGGACCCTGCCCAGATCTTTCAAGGATTTGTGAGCTCCTCACACAATCCAGTCTGGTTAAACCCAGGATGGATCGTAGGCAGGCCAGCCTAAATGTTTCTAACCGGCGAAGATGTTCCATTAGGGGGGTCCACGTTTCGCAAGCGTAGAGAAGGGAGAGAATGACCGTGGCCGAGAAGACCTGAAGCTTAGTGCGGAGCGACAGACCAGGTAGCTTCCACACAGCGTTACGCAACCGATGAAAATAAATTGCCGCTCGACTGATTCGGAGTGAGACCTCTGCTGTTAAACTGGAGCCGGTCATAAGCACACTGCCCAGGTATGGGAAACTCTCCACTCTCTCCACAACTGCCCCATCACCGATTGGGAGTTGTGGGGGTGGAGTGTCCGATGGTACAAAATACCCAGGCAGGTGCTTAGTTTTGGTGGGGCTGATGGTAAGGCCCCATCTCTTAGTAGCACGCTCCAATCTCAACAGCAGCATCTCCAACTCCTCCTCTGAATGAGCAGCTATTACCAAATCATCGGCATACATAACGTAGTTGAGCAATAGGGAGCCATCCCTTTAACGCACCCGGGCATCGATCAGCCTCCCATTACATCTTTACCAAATGGAGATTCCCCCGGTACAGCTTTTGAAGGCTTCACAAACTACGTGGTCAAAAGAGATGTTAAATAATGTGGGAGCCAGAGGACATCCCTGTCGCACCCCAAGGTGTACAGGGAATGGCTCTGACTCCCGGCCACGTAGTTTAACCCGGGCCCGCTCACCATCATGAAGGTCCTTAATGATCGTGAGCAGAGGGTCAGGGACTCCAAAAGCACGGAGAACAACCCAGAGCCCAGGCCTACTGATGGTATCATAGGCCTTGACCAGGTCAATAAATCAGAGATGTAGGTCTTGTTGGAATTCCCTACACCTCTGCTGTAGCAGACGGACAGAAAATATGGTATATGTGGAGGACCGCCCTTTCCTGAAATCGCATTGGGGCTCCGCAAGCCTCTCCTCAGCATGCCTGGCAAGGCGATGTTGAATAATTCTTGCCAGGACCTTTCCCGGCCCACTGAGGAGTGAGATGCCCCTGTAGTTGTTACAGTTTGTGCCGTCCCTCTTCCTAAAAAGGGGGACCACCAGGGCTTCCTTCCAATCCTGCGGAACCCGTCCAGTGGTCCAGACTGTTGTTATGATGTTATATAGGGCAGTCTGTGCACAAACGCCACCCTCCCTCAGCATTTCGCTTGGAAGATCATCTCTGCCAGGTGCCTTTCCTGGTCTCAGACTCCGGATCGCCTTCAGTACTTCCTCAACAGATGGCACCTCAGCCAGTCACTCACAGGGGGTGACTTCTTCCAATATTTAAGGCACCACATCCTCGGCAGGGTCATCCCCACTTTATGCCACGATGTTTTCCTGGCTGAGGGATTTCCCCTCCCCCAGGACCTCACAGAAATGCTCAGCAAATCTGCAAACCTGTTCCTGGGGGTCGGAGATTGGATCACCGGTTTTTCCCCTAATGATAGTAATAGGTGTTGCACTGCATGTTACTTTTTTGATGGAGTTAAATAGAGATTTGTGATCGCGGGCCACTGCGGCAGACTCCATCTCCTCAGCATCCCGCGACCACCACCCATCCTTGCAGCGTCTCACGGCTCTCCGAACCTCCGAGCGAAGGCTGCTGTAAGCCTCCTCATTCTCTGACGTGGGATTCTGTAGCCGATGACAGTGGGCCTATCGATTTTTCTCAACTATCCTGAACACCTCCTCTGTCAGCCAGGGTCTCTGGGGAGGTCTGGACCGCATACCCAAAGCAGCCATTGCAGCTGCATGAGTTACAGTCCTAAACCTCGCCCATTTACCCTCGACATCAGGAGGAGTGGGGGACGATGCAAACCCCAGCCGCAAGCGATGATGAAATTCTCGCTTGCAACTTTCATCAGCTAACTGAAACCAGGCCACTTTAGGTTGGAATGGGGTCCTGGGTGTACACCCACTACCGGAGTGGAAGAATGGCAGGCGCATCTTACAGATGACTAGTCGATGGTCAGAGGGCAGATCAGCTCCACGGTAGGTCCTGGTGTCAAGGACATGGGCTCGCACCCGCTGGTCCATCACTATGTAGTCCAGCAGATGTTCTTGCTTGGACCCGGCATGCATCCATGATGTTGTGTGGATGCGCCGATGCCGGAACAGCGTGTTGGTAATTACAAGCCCATGGGCTGCACAAAAATCTAGCAGCCTCCTACCGTTGTTATTGAGCTGATCTGGCCCATGCCCTCCAATCACTCCAAACCAGGTGCCAGCATCATGACTAACTCGGGCATGAAGTCACCCAACAAGATGACTCTATCCCGAGGGGCCACTTTAGCCAGCACCTGTGACAGGAGGTCATAGAAGGCATCTGACTCATCGGCTTTGCCTGCATCCCTCCACAGATGTTCGTCTTCGGTGGGGGCATAAGTAACCACGACCACCACTCCTCGCCTTCGGTTGATGGGAAGGCGAGCCCAAAGTAGCCTGGGGCTTACAGCTTCCCACACCTCACCGCCACGCTCCTACGGCTCCTTCATGCTTTTGTTCAAAAGAAGAGCCACACCCTGTTCTTTGGCAGTCTGCTGCCCCGAGTAGAGGACTGTCCACCCCTCATGGTGGTAGGAGCCACAACCGGTCCACCGGACCTCCTGAATGCCACAGAGATCCAGGCGGTACCGATCCAGCTCCCGACAGAGGAGTGGCAGCCTCTCCTCCGCAGTGAGCGTTCGAACATTCCACGTGGCCACACGAAGTGGCTTTTCGTTGTTTCTGGAGGAGCCCCGAGGGTAGAGATTAAATCTCCTGGCACCACCAATTGGGGTTTGGCCAGGAGACGTCATAGACGCCTGTCCTCCCGGGGTCTCCGGCACAAGTTTATTACTTTCATTTTTAATTCGTGGCTTCGTGGTAAATTTTTAATGGTGGAGGTGTTACCAGCCCCTCGCACCCGTCCAGAGCCCCCGTTTAGCCACTGTGGTGGTCACAGACGCCATGAGGGGAGGAGCCAATCGGAATTGGCCCTCC